AAGCGACTCATAACTCATCTCGTCAGCCAACAGACGTCAGTGAACATTTTCTATTCAAACGAACACAATTCAATTAATCCCATTTTTAGTCAGTTAATTTTTATTACACGTTTTTTTGTCAGCTGGTCCCTCCAGCAGCCTACAAGCTGGAAGATGGGCGTCACTGCTGTTGACTCTTACTATTGTTGTGCCTAATAAGAAATCACACACACAGCCAAGAAGCTATAAAACATGCAGAGTAAATATAGCCTCCACATTCATCCGCACTGTGTCTGTCATCACTTTAGATATTCCAAGAAAAACCCTGTGATGAATATTTGTGTCAGCCACAGCTTAAATAAATTATGTCAGTGGGATTATGGACTTCTGGTGTCAGATTGTGAACCTTACAACATCTTAGCTACTCTTATTTTAAGTCACTGAATTGCCCCAGAGGAGGCAACTGAATGTGAGCGTGGGGAAAGTTCGCCGACCTCGTGTTTAGTTTGGGACGATTCAGGTAACTTTAACTGTGAAGTCGGCTCAACAGCATTGCTGCATCCTGCTCCGTGTGTCTGCGTCGCCGTGTGATAACTCAAACATTATTTTATGGCCGTGGCTCCAGTTTCACCGTGAAACACTGAGTCACCGCTGACTGAGAGGAGCCGGACAGGCTGCAGGCCGACTGATAAAGTGAGTTCATAGTTGGTCAGACCCTTGGCCCTCAGAGATAGTGCAGCTCGCCCACCACGCTGACCGAGACGACAGGACCAGCAGCTGATAAAGAAGGCAGGAGCAGCGTGGGCGATGGAGAGAAAACCAGCCAAATGGTGAATAAAACCCTGTGGGGACTGTTCACCGCTGCCAATCTGTGTAAGATTTGCAGCTGAAAAGTGATCTATCTCATTCTGAAAAGTGAGCTTTTAAAAAAAAAAACAAAAAAAACACATTTTTTTTTAAGACCAGAATTTATCGTTTCTCTGATATGATTTCAGCATCCAGTCGCTTGATGTTGCTGTTTCATATTGAGAAACTAACATGTCATCTGTTCTGGAATTAAATTAATGCCTCTGTAGTAAATCAAATAAAATAGTGTCCGGGTTCTAACGATGATAAAGTCTACATGGTTGTGATGGTTTTTTTGTTAGCTTTTTACTGGAATTTGCCTGAATCTGCTTCATTTGTATTATCCAGATTTGCCTCAAATGTTCACAACAAACCTCAGTTCAGATGAAGGATGTCTCCTCCAGGACGGACCAGTGTACAGTAGTTCTCATATATCCATACTAGACAGGAATGGATATATTACAAAATATGGAGGAGACGGAAAGTCTTGTCCTCTGTGCACCTTAGAGGAGCAATTCAGTGATTCTGTGTAAGACTAAACTCTTGAAGCCGGCATGCAGACAACCAGCTGCTTTGTTTTGGCCTCATATTTCTCAAAGACTCCACTCTTTCTTGTTCTTTCTGGCGAGCTCCTGCCTGTCATCTGGAGCTTATTGTGCTGTCTGGTGTTTTTAGTAGTAAGGCCCAGCTGAAGGCCGTGATCTCATAGGACAGAGAAAGGTCCCTTTGACTGATACTGATCTGGTCATAGCTGCTGTAGCTCAGCCCAGAACCTTATACCTCCACACGCTGCTTCCATTAGCTGCAGCTATACTGTATATATTACACTACTGTGTGTCTGATGCTATCAGTGTGCCTATATGTGCTCACACAGGAGCAGACTGGTTGGCAGACGTCGGCATGGTTGCATTTTCATATTTTGCAGGTACTTCCAGTTCAAGAGAATGTAGAGTATGTCCTCATAATGCAGTATTTGTGTACCTGAATGTGTCTCTGGAAGGATTTTTATGCATAATTTCATTGCAGTGCCTCCTCTTATTGTCCGTTTTTGCTCAGTTGAACTCTGTCAACTCTCAGGTTTCTGTAATAACTCCCCAATTCAAACTCACACACAGCATTTCTGCACTCGTCTGTCATCCACATGTCCATTTGTCTGGCCCTCCATTAGTCAGTTATTCCAGTGATTTACACTATCTCCCGCGCTATCAAACGACGGCACATTCTCATAATCATATTAATATACCTGCGTTGATTCGGGCTCGTACGCAGATGCACACCAGAGTAATAAAGCCGTCGTATCTGCCAGTGCTGAAGGCTGCTGTCATGTGCAGAAGGTCATTTTTGTGATGTTCGCTCGGGTCTGCGTGAGGCGATGGCAGACGAGACAGGAGGCGTGCTCTCTCTGCTGTGGAAGCTCTGATAGTAGCAGAGTCCCACTGACAGATTGAAGCCGAAGGGATTTTGCAGCATCAGGGCGGCTCGTTGCAGAGTGTCAGAGGAGTCGGAAAGGTGTTGAGACATTAGTGGGTGCAGAAAGGCCTGAGAGTGTGAGACTTGGATCAGGAGTAAAGTTTGCCTCCTTGTTATTCTTGTTGCCCTGTTACGTTATGGACTCTTGACCTGTTTATTTGTCTCACCTCCGATTTGTCTACAGTATTATTTGATGACTAATTAGCATGTGTGTGCGGTTAAGCCGGTTCCTGTCGCACACACCCAACACTGAAAAGGTCTCGTTTCCGGATTAGTGCGTTGAGCTGGATTCTGTAGTACACACACACACACACCTCTATTTACAGCTTCTCCTGAATGAGGCCTGGAATAGTTTTTCTTTTCATTCATAATCGGGGCATGTGATCAAGATCTGCATAACAAGCCGACTCCCACACTTAACCCCATAACAACAAGCTGCCATTAATGCACGCACACACACACGTTTAAGCTGCGTTATTAGCACATGTATGCATGCGTGCTTGTGCATCTAAGTGTGCACATGCATGCGTGTGTGTTCTCCTGTGTGGGAAAATGGGCTGTGTGTGAGGTGGAGCATGAAAACGACAGTAAACAGAGGCCACTATCAGTGATAAAGCTCCACTCATTATGTGGCTGTTTGACTTGTTGTACGTTTACTGTGAGAAAACCGGAGATAAGACCTGAGAGAGAGTGAAGGCAATTTGGAGGAATAATTGAGACTGGACGGAGTGTTTGACATTGAGGATGGAGTGAGTGGGACAGAGGGAATGGAGGTGTCTCGGGACTCCCTGTGGACGGACTCGGATGTTGGGAACAGAGTCGGCCTAACGAAGCGTGGCGGCCTCTCACCGAGAGGGAGGGAGGGGAGAGGAAGAGGAGAGGAGTCGCAGGTCGGACACAGTTTCTGATCAAAGATCGATCATTCGGGCGAAGTAAAGAGGATGAACAGCAGCCGGTTGAGCAGCAGAAACAGCACTCGAACACTTCAAGTCAGCTTTGACATGACACAAAAACTATTTGTTCAAGTTGTTCTGGAGACAGACTCCTAAATAGGAGGTGTGACCCTCCACATAGCAGCCAACAGCCCACACTTTGCACTTTTCATGCATTGTAAGACACACACTTCTCTCTTTGTGTAGTGTTTATGTTTAATTTTTACTACTACGTCCCTGTTTAATATGTTGTAGTTGTGTTTTTTGTTGGTGTCTATGTTTTCTGACCCTGCCCATGAAGATGATGTAATATTTTATTTTTTCTGGTTGACCTGGGAGGTTAGACTGATCTCTGTTTAAACTTTATGGAAAAATGCCTGGAACGAAATTACTCTTAAAAATGCAGAAGCAGACTCCAATGAAAACAATAATAAGATCCTTCAAACCTGAAAAAAGTCACAAACCACAGCCTCGATCAGGTTCTAGTCCACGACTAGTCCTGAACTCTTCCGGGTTTGTTTGTCAAAATGTGAAAACTTTATTGTATTTCCGTGACACACTCTTTCTACGCAGCACAAACCGTCGCGTGTCAACATGCACTGTCGCTTAAGATGCCCAAACTGAGTCTGTCATTATGTTGTCATACTCGGAGCATTACATCACCGCGTCAGTCTCAGTTGATGTGGCGTTTCCTCAGAATAGCATCATCATCATGAGCCAGCGACTGGAGCTGCTCTCCACTTCAGTCGGCCTATCTGGGCCTGTGATGTGAAGTGGTCAGCTCAGCCAGCACTCTGCCCCGGAAAAATAACACAACCATGTCAGTCATCGATGAAGAGAGGGAACCAAAGAGAGACTTTAGAACGGAAAATGAGGCAGAAGACAACAAGAGAGATTTGCTGGCTTTGCCTATGAAAGTATTTCCTGTTTGGTTTTATTACTCCATCCAGTTCCCTAATGAGTGAAAAGCTCGGTCAGCCTTCAATCCTCTTAATCATGGGAGTAGACAGGTGACTGTGGCCTGGGTTCGTGTTGAGGCAGAGCTGCCAGGTTTAGTCGATTAACTGATGAGCTGATCGGTAGAAAATTAATTCTTCCTTGTTTTACGTGATAATAAATCGAATGTTTTGGACCATTTGTTGGACATTTGAAGGTTCTGGTATTATTGGACTCTAGGAAACTGTGACCTTCTGACATTTTTTAGAATATTACAATAATCTGTAAGTCAAATGAATTATCAGCAAATCAATAAACAATTTTACCTCCTGGTCACCTTTAAATCTTTGTTTCTGTTCTATGAATCACTTTCTATTCCTCATGCTTTTTAATGACCTAATTAACGAGTTTGTTTTTCTTAATGGTGTAAGAATCTACACTGACTGTTTTTTTAAAGAGTGACTAAGATGAACTAGAAAGATCTGAGGCTCACCAGTGGTTCCACTTAGAGCAGAGGTGCCCAAATCCTGGTCCTGGAGAGCCCCTATCCAGCATGTTTTAGATGTTTCCCTCGTCCAACACACCTGATTCACATGATCAGGATGGCTATCAGGCTTCTGCAGAGCTTGATGATGAGCTGATGTGTGTTGGAAGAAGGAAACATCTACAACATGCTGGATAGGGGCTCTCCAGGACCAGGATTGGGGCTCTCCAGGACCAGGATTGGGCACCCCTGACTTAGAGCCTAAAACTGAGCGACTCCACCATCTAGTGTCAATGCAGCAGAACTTCAACCCATAAAAGTTTTCATTTTCCTCTCGTGTGTTTTTCCTTCAGGATGGCGATGCCGCTGTTTGATGAAGACACTGGTCTGCTCCTACTGGCCGGCACGGTAAGATAACGGTTGATAACTTTCCTTACACTGACAACACTGAGAAATGACGCAAACATGCATATCTTGTCCAAGTTGCTGTTAATGGATGCAGATTGTACTTCTTAGCTGATCGTAATCTTTTTGTGAACGGAAATGACCTTATTTTTTTCTCACCACTGAGACAGTCGTGCTGGATGGATGATTCAGTGTTTTTTCCTCTCGCACAGGGAGACACTGTGATCGACTGCTTTGAAGTTTCTTCCTCTGAGCCTTTACTCTCTCAAGGTAGAGCTGAGTTTGTTATCCCACTGTGGACACACTGCTGCATCCTCCCTCCTTCTGTCTGATTGCCTCTCTTTCTTTTTTTGCCTTTTACATTTCAAAGTGAGCCACTGTCTGACGGATCACTTGACGCGAGGGGTTGCAGTGGTACCCAAGCTGGCGCTGGACGTCATGTCCTGCGAGGTGATGCGAGTGCTTCAGCTGACCGACAGCTGCATCGTGCCGATCAGCTATCAGGTCCCTCGCAAGGTGTGTAGCCGCAAACACATCCAGCAAATCCGTAACACATAGAACTAATGTTCAAAATACCTCTATGACATCAAAAGAGTCCGGGGAGGCTTCCTTTGGAGGTTTTCTGAGCATGTCCACCTGAGAGGAGACCCGCTGGAGGAATTATTTTTCTCAGCTGGCCTGGGTACGCCTCGGGATTCTCCAGGAAGAGCTGGAAAGCGTTGCTGGGAAGAGGGGCGTCTGAAAACGACCTGCTTCATCTGCTGCCTCCGACCCCAGAGAAGAAAATGGATGGATGGAACTAATGTGCTTCTTTGCATTGCTGTTTTAGAGATAATGTATGAATGTATACCTGCTAATACTGATTTGTCTTCCAGCATTCAGGCCAGGAGTTTCATGAGGACCTTTACCCAGATACAGTAGGCACGACTCCAGCCATGTCTGCTGAGGAGTGGTGGCAGGGAGGAAACCAGCAGGTAACAGATCCGCTCTGGCATAATGTCCACCCTGCACGAACTCAGTCTCAGTTGGCTCTGTTTGTCTCTAGGTGGAGAAAGTCAGCCTCCATCCAGACAAGCAGCCCAAAACAAAGACTCCACCCGCAAAACCAACACCTGCCAAGAAGGAGCTGTCCAGTGACGGGAGCAAGGAGGTGAGAGACACGTCTGTAGATTTGTGGTATCAATCGATTCTTAAAACCACAAGGTTGGTGAAGACAGCCACCTTCTGTTCTCCAGGATCAGGCTCGGGGTTGCTCCACCTCCAGCAGTCCTCTCAGCACCCCCAGCAGCATCGCTGTCCCGTCCCGCTCGCCCTCCTCCACCTCCGGAAACTCCTCGGGCTTCATCCCCAGCCCCAGTCCCAGCCAGAGTGCCAAGGCCATCCAGAGCATGCTGGGTAGAAGCACACATCTTAAATCTCTTCATGTTGGTGTCATTTCAGAGGAACCTTTCCTCACAGACAGAGCAGTTCATTTAAGCTGATCTTTTGCCCAGGGCCGTCCTCCAAGTTCCGTCACATCCAGGGTGCCGTGATGCACCGCGACACTCACATCACCAACATCCGTGGCCTCAATCTGACCACACCGGGCGAGTGTGACGGCTTCTGTGTCAACCGGCAGCGAGTGGCCGTGCCCCTCGCCATCTCTGGAGGCCAGATTGCCGTATTTGAGGTAAAGCAGCAACTGGGAAATGCAGGGATGTTGATTCCTGAAGCTCGTCTTCGTGTTGAGTGCCTTTTCTTCCCCCATGTAGATGCTTTTGTATATGAGACGACTCGGTGCTGTCTGTAAGTGGTTTGCTTCCTCTCCTCAGCGCTCTCAGCCCGGCAGGCTACCAGACACAGCGCTGCCCACCATCCAGAACTCTGTTAATGTGGCTGACTTCTCTTGGGATCCCTTTGACACCTGCAGGCTGGCTGTCGGTGAGTAAATACATAAGCTGTGGATGTACGTGTCTAGTGTCCATCTAACACACCTGTCTCCCTCTCTGTCCGCCCCAGCTGGTGATGATGCTAAGATCCGGGTTTGGCAGGTACCAGAGGATGGACTGAAAGAGACTCTAACTGAGCCCGAGCTCATCTTACAGGGTAGGACAGATCAAACTGAAATCAGCTCAACAATTTACATCTCTAACTGTTGGAGCACAGACTTATGCCTGAGGCTGCACTCACTCATGTCACAAACTACGTACACGATACTGTATCATCAAACAGCTCCATCAGCCTGAGGAAATGCAAAAGTTATTGCCAAAAAAATCCCAAAACAGTAGTGAGAGAACACAAAAGTATTCAGAAAAACAGATGATGGCTAAACTAAAGTGGAGTTGATTGACAGCTGTTGTAACTCCTTGTAGGCCACACAGAGAAGATCTACTCCATTGAGTTCCACCCGCTGGCCAGTGGACTCCTGGTGTCCTCATCCTATGATCTCTCAGTCCGACTGTGGAGCCTGGAGAGCGGAGAACAGGTCAAGCTTCTCACTGGACACCAGGACCAGGTAGGTGACCAAGAACTTTGAGTGCAAGACTAAATACAGAAAAAAAAAGAAAAGAAATCAATGCTAAGTCTGTGTTTAAGACGGTTTCACTGAGCCCTGACGGAGCCACGTAATCTTAGACAAGCGTCCTTACAACATCCTTACAACATTTAATAAGCCTCTGAGTTTCTCCCTCCTTGTTCCGTCTGTGGTTCATGTTCAGGTGTTTGGAATGGCATGGAGCCCTGATGGGAAGCTCCTGGCCACAGTTTGCAAGGACGGGAAAGTTCGCATCTATGACCCTCGCAAGTCCACTGAGCCTGTGCAGGTACAAACAACACAAGAGACGAAAACAGAAGATTCGTCTTTTGGTTTGTGTTGTGAAAATGTCTTAACAACAACGTTTGTTCAGCTCTGAGTCACGAACGTGAATGAACCTGTAAAAATTCTGCTCTGTATTAATGCACTAAACAGCAGAATCCTCTTATATTAAACCTTTTACTTTGACTCATTGTTTAATTGTGTGTCGCCGCTTTGTAAACGCAATAAGCTTCTTACATCAGTGATTAGATGAAACGCACTATGACTGAAAACTAATCTTTTTGTTTCCTTTGCTCAACTCTCACCCACCGCTCTCTGTGTTCAGGAGGGTCCGGGTCCGGACGGCCACCGGGGGGCTCGGGTGGTCTGGGTGTGTGATGGCAAGTACCTGCTGGTGTCGGGATTTGACAGGTACCGGATATCATGAAGAATCTGTTTTTGTTGAGTCTCGTGACTTTAACTGATCACGGACTCCTATTTAACATAGAAGCAGACTTTTAATTGGTGCAACATGTATAGCCTCTTTTGAATTTTAGTCACCTGAGGTTCTGATCCGTCTTGTCCTCCTGCAGTCGCAGTGAGAGAGTCCTGTACCTGTACTCTGCTGACTGTCTGTCCTCTGGGGCCACAGCCAGCACACCTGTGAACGTCTCCCCCTCCACGCTCATCCCCTTCTACGACCCGGACACCGGCGTCGTCATCCTCACCGGAAAAGTGAGCACACAAATGTTTTGTAACTGTGAGAATTTGTGCTGCCGATGTTGTACAAGTTGTACTGAAAGAGTGCGTTGCGTCCTTTTTTCAGGGCGACACCAGAGTGCACATTTATGAGCTGACCCCTGAAGAGCCGTACTTTATTGAATGCAGCAGTTTTAACTCTCCTGAGCCTCATAAGGTAGCAGGACTCCTACAGACACTAACATGCTTCAGGAATGGGAAGTTTATATGCCTTCAGATTTGAAAACTTGAAGATACTGTATCCTGTTTTTTTCATGTCTGCAGGGTTTGGCCTTTCTGCCCAAGACAGAGTGCAACGTTCGTGATGTGGAGATAGCTGTGGGTCTAATGCTAACCAAGACAACCATAGAGCCAGTGGCCTTCAAAGTGCCACGGGTCAAAGTGAGCCAACTACCCCACCATGTGGACAAATGGGAGCGCTGCATCCCCCCAATGGTTATTTCAGATAAACAGCTACGGCTTTATCCATGAAGTGTGTAAATCTGTCTGCCTTCTGTCTCCAGAAAGAGTTTTTCCAGGATGACGTATACTCAGACACAACGGTTTGGTGGGAACCAGCGCTGACTGCCTCCGCCTGGCTCTCAGGCTCCAACGGCCAACACAAAAAGATGAGCCTGAAGCCTAAAGACATGACACCAGGTGCAAGACACAGCAGAGTTGGAATATGTGCATACCATGTGTCCTTATCTATCGTAACTCCCACTCTAGATCAGGATTGTTGCCGCCGCAGTCTGCATGTCAGCACTGGAAACGTCCTGGTATGTTTCGATGCGTGATGCCAGGTGTGTGTTTCTTTCTTTCTCAGTGAGTGAGGCCCCCAAAGAGGCTCCAGTGAGGAAATACCTGCCCTCATCTGTTTACCTGGAGGAAAAGACAGATGAGCAGAAGAAGGAGGAGGTGAAGACAAGTTCAAATGCATGCAGTGCATCTCCACAGTCTGTCACAGACACAAGTCAAAGTCCTGCATGTCCAGCAGTTCCTGATGTTTGTTAACGCTGACTGTGTGTGTGTGTGGTCCAGCTGCTGAGCGCCATGGTGGCCAAGCTGGGGAACATGGACGACCCGCTGCCACAGGATTCCTTCGAGGGCGTCGACGAAGATGAGTGGGTGAGTTGCAGGAGGGGAGTGTTGAAGTAATGACGGTGCAGAAACTCTGCTGATGGACATCTTCTTCATTATTTACGCTCCACTTAACCCTCTGAACTCGAAGCTGTTTCTGGGCAGTTTTTACACATTTTTCACTGCAGTATAAAGTCCTGCACGTCTATGGAAACAGAACAACCATCGTAGGAGTAGAAGACCTCAAACATGGCTTCTGTATAGTGGCATGAATCCTAAATGAAGGAAAAACAAAAGTTGAATTACTTCTTTATTTATTTTTCACAAATCCCATATTTTTTCAAGTTGCCACAGGTCTTACCAACTCGGGGAAAAAACTAGGGTGACTCTCCATACTATAGATAATCCACTGCTTAAACTTTCAGTTTATTTCCATCCTTGTCTCCTCTCTGCTCTGTGGAAACACTTCATCTGAAAAACCTCTGAGTTTCTGTCATGTGACCTTTGTTTGCAGCTGAGACGCAAATCACTTCTCAGTTATTCCAAGGAGCTAATGTTTTTGTTTTGTTTTGTAGAACAACGGTTAACTCTGGGACATATTTTTTTAATGAAACATGTAGAATAAAGCGATTTTTAAAGCAATATGAAAATTTTAATCTAAGATATCATCATAGAGGATTACTTCAAGAAACATTGGAAAGTTTTTTTAAAAATCTCTTTGTTTTAACAGTTTCTGACTCTGATTAATGTTGTGTTATGAATGTCTGCATAGTTAAATGTAAGCTGCAGTTTTTCTGCAACAAAAACGCTAATGGTGAGGGTTTTTCATATATGGATTATAATTTTAAGGGTTAGTGCTGTTTTTATCACCTCGTTTCATGAACTCAGAAACCTGCTATTATAAAAATGTAGTGAAGTAGAGTTTACTGTGATCACTATCAAACAGAAGGCGCTGAGAGTATTAAGACATTTTTGTTGCAAGACTGACTGGTTTCTCTGTTATCCAGGATGACTAAAGGGGACGCTGTCGTGCCTTTGGTTCGGTTTTGGTGCCAACAGCAGAGATGAGAAGACAGCCGGAGTGTTGTGTTGCCATTTGTGTGCGACTGTGCCTCCCAGACATCCTCTGATCTTTATTAACACACATCTCAGCCCTCTGAAAACACAATGAATAACGCACAATATGAGAATCTACATGGTGTAGGGGGGGTAAAAATCTTAGTATCCTTCTGTAAGACCTCCTGCTTTCAGTACTGTATGTATGACGGAAAATCAAAAGCCACACTGTCCCGCTGATGTTGACTGGAATCTGGAATAAGTCTGACTTAGTTTTGTTTTGTTAATGTAGTCAGAGGAAATATGTCACTTCATTCACGATATTAACAAAAAGCTCACCGTTCAAGAATATACAACGATATTAATCAGTGCTGAAATCATATATCAGGAACCCTATTTTAGGTAATTTGTGGCTCTTCAAGTCAGTTCAAGGTGAATAAACCTGCAGGCGATCGTAGCAATAATACTTCTGCAACTGCTCAGTGTTGAAAACAAACCTAAACCTGTTGTCCACCTACAACAACTCATCATTCCAATAACGGATGAGAAGCTTCTCTTGTCTTCTGTGCTGTGTGGCCACGGTTTGAGACGCACTGGGTCTCCTGATATACAGAAACAACTGCCTGTGTCTGCATATCAGGACATCCTGTTGTGAACTCTGATGTACAAAGTTGTTATTTGTGTGCACATTTACCTCCACAGTGGGACCACTGCTTGCTTTTTTTGTACCGGCCAGTCATACGAGCACGCTCAGTCACAATGTGTCTTCAAAACATGTAACATGGTAAAAATAAAAACAACAGCTTTTTGAAAAGGTAAACTCATGCAGCTGTTAAAAAACACTTGTCTTCCTGTTGGTTCAGGTAAAACTCACACGACTACTGTAACGAGTTCAAGCTTCAGCAGCAAAAACCACACTGAGGATACAACAGGGTCACCAGTGGTCATGTTTGGACATGAACTGGAATTTCTTACGACATCATTAAGTTCACTTTTCTTTGTTAGCCAACATTAGACTAAAATGCCATTTTTACTGAATTCTACGCTGCTGTATTTGTACCAGTTCGATTTGATTAAATCTTTTGCCATCCAGGACTAATCGTAGAAGTAGACATCAACGATTGATAAAAATGAAACGTTATTATGCATCGAAAGCCAAACCACCTCCTTCTTGACTTTCTAGAGGAGCCTTTGTATACTTTAAGATGTTCGTTCCTTTCTTTCTTTTTATTTACTGGGCAGTTGAGTTTTTAGTTGCGACCCTTGTTGGCGTTCCGACTGTTTCGGGGATATTTGTCACTAAATGAGCTAATTTTCTTGTCTGATTTTAACTCGTAGTAAGTAATCATGGTGTTAATTGGACAACATTGCAGTATTAATACACACGTGTGTGGAAGGTGTTGTCGGGGTTTGTGTGACGTAAACTGTGCGGTATGTGCTCGTGATTCTCAGAGGCCATACTTTGTAAGTTTTGGATTGGGTTATCTTGCCTTCCATTGTGTTAAGAAAGAACATTGTTTTTATACAGCGTGTAAAGCATTGTTGTTTTGTTTCTGTCTTACCTCAGTAACGGTTTCATGGATTTCTTCAATATTGTCTTGCAATAAACACCTTTTGAACCTGTTTCAGCTGGTCTCTGTTAGATTTGCTCACCGTGAACAACACAGCTGATGGATATATGGAAAGACTCAGTTAACAGCAGTGATTCTTTGCATCTCGTTGCAGCAGAATGTTTGGAAAACACTGACGCAACTTGCCAACATTGTGCTGCATATTCTAATAGAGAGAAGGTCAGTACTTTAACAACACAAAGGTGGCTGTGGCATCCAATACATTAGATAAAGAAGGAGGAAAATTAAGAATAGAAATCAGCTGCAAATTATTTTTTACTTTTGTCATATATTTTACTTATGTGTATCTATATCATTGTGTGAGTATTATAGTAGTCTAACAGGGGAACACAAATCAAATTTAGTCTTTTTTGTGACTTCCTTGTGAGCAGTAATCCACTCAGCATTTATTGAGAAATAAACTAATGATTTTATTATTCCTGAAATTCAAATATTAAAAATGTTTCCCAGTTCTGTAAACTGGTCCAGTGATTATCTAACCAACGTCAGGACAAACATGCAAACACACACAAGAAAAGGAATCTGACAGGATTGTGTTCATTCAGTTTTGAAACTTCAGCTTTCAACATTTTTGTTCATAAATGAAGCTTATTTCAGGATGCAAAATATTGCTACTGCCCTGTGTGTCAATGTAATGTGCATCATTTTCGTTTTCTTGTATTTCATCATCGTGTGATCTTACTTTAGTACCTCAGTGTCATTGCTCGTATTACTTCCTTCTATTTTATTCTCTGGCCCTATTTATTTTATTGTATTAGTACTATTGCTTTTTATTCTGGACATTTTTCTAATTTTATGCCATTTTGTTTCCTGAGCAATATCTGAAAAAAAAAATCCTTTGGGATTAATAAAGTTTAATCTTACCTTAAATATGTAAGATTAGATTAAGTCCATCCCAGCTGAGTCAGTGTGACGGCAGGGATACTGAAATAAAATAAGTAAACTAAAATACAACAGTACAAAGTGATGCTGGTAGAAAAATTTAATATGACACACACACACTCCTTATTCTACTGGTTATAATAATGTTCTGTTATAATGTCTTATTATTGTCACTTTCCATGTCACCGCTCAGACTGTGGATCTGGAGCCTCCTGCGCTCTGACTCCCCGCCGCCAGGTGTCGCTGTGACAAAGCGCCGTTTTTCAACTGACTCGTCTTGAATATTGATTTCGTCGATTCTTCCTTGAACTTTGACCTTTTCAATAACCTTCAGTGTGCATGTGGGAAAACAGAAGCCGGGCACCGTCCGCGGAGGCTGAGAATAATATCAAATGGTGAGAATTCCTGTTGTATTAGTATTTGTAGTTGTGTTTTTGTTCCCGTCGGGCCTGCGGCTCTGCGGCGAACTGCTGTTAGCATTAGCATTGGCATTAGCAGCTGCTGTGCTGCTCAGTGTTCCAGCAGCGTTGTGTAAATATACATATATCCTCTATGCTGCTTCATCAGATTTAGCTAGAAATGAATCAAAGTGCTCCAGGTGTAATGAAGGTGTTTCTTCCATCAGCCCCTGTTCACTGCTAATCAGCTGTGTTGTGTTTGAACCGACTCTGTTCCATCTGTCATTAACGGTGACTGAACCTGTGATGAACTCTCTCCTGTTCCTTCTGCAGGCTAAATATCTGGCTCAGATCATAGTGATGGGAGTTCAGGTGGTGGGACGTGCATTTGCTCGCGCCTTGCAACAGGAATATGCAGGTATGGGCCCGTTTCAAACACCTTGTAGTGTTCATGTGGTTCTGAATCAGCCCAGTGAGTGTTTACAGTCAGAACCGGTTTAAATCCAGCATCAGTCCGACTCTGAACTCAGACCTGGTGTGTTTTAAAGGCAACAGCTCATAATGGCTCATAATCTGTGCTTTGGAGTTCATATTATGGAGTAAATAAAAAGAAGAAGAGAGTTCAAATCAGTGTTGTATCGTTACAGTGACTTGTACCATATTAGACGTGCAAAATGTGTCCTGGTGTAATGTTTTCAAGATTTAGCGTGTCCCTTTTGTACATAATTGAAGATGTGAATGCTTTCATGTAAAGAAACGTGTGACTGAACTTTGCATAAACACAAAGATGAAACAGCAACACATGCATTTGTCCTGAGCCACAGCAGCTTCAGCCTCAGAGATACATCAGTAACTAAGGCTGAACAGTTGGGAGCAAACTGTGACACTTTGTGCAGTTTGACGTTTAATGTAATTTTTAAAAATCAAACTTTGGTTCAGTAGTCACCGTGTAATAGATTTAAAACATGTGATGGAGCATCACCACATGGGACGGCATCAGAAGCCGGACTGTCACACAAGTAAGACGACAAGAAGTTGTCACACCATTGTCACGACTGTTTAAATTCTGAGCCAGATGCTCCAGAAATGTTCAAGGTGTAACAACGAATAACCAGACTGGGCTTGTGTCAAACAGTAATTAGTGGTAAACGGCAATTAATGGGCTCGATCTGCTCGAATTCATTAAAACTGAATTACAAATTTTGTAATCACACCTTGTTTTTCCTAAATTGCAAACTTTGCTGATTGGATCATTTCAAATTGATGTGAAATTGATTCATTGTTCAGCTCTCCGTGCAGCCGTTCTGGCTTCACAGTAGTTGAGGATGTATGTATTGAATTTCCCTTCTGGGATGAATAAAGTATTTTTCATTTCATTTCATTTCATTTCATGACGTCTGTGATGTGTTCACCACACAGCCAGCCAAGCGGCAGCACGGGCCAGAGGCCGAACGGGTCAGCAGTCAGCTGCAGCCTCCAGCATCACCGGGATGAGCCTGCAGGAGGCCCAGCAGATCCTCAACGTGTCCACACTCACCCCCGAGGAGATTCAGAAGGTACAAACTGCACTCTTTTCTGCTGATGTCTGCATATTAATCTGAGCTGATAGGAGAGTTTAGGAGCAGCAAACACAAGGCCGAAGAACAAACACTGCCTGGTGAGTGGTGTTTGCATGTAAGCTGCAGTGTTTCTATAGCAGCCATCGAGGAATGGCGTTTATTTTGCCTTTGCTCCAAAAAAAAACAGTTCACCACATGTCACTTCATCAGAATTTATCCTATGATCACACAACCTGTTCCTGAGCTTCAGCATCTCGGTAAAGTGAAAAGCTGAAGTTTGTCCGACGTGTATGAAATATTCCCCGTTTACTAAATCATAGTTAAACACCTCACCTGTTTCTAATGAATGGGCTTCACCACTGACACTGTGTGATGTGTTTTTCCCACCGAACTTGACCGTACTAAAGCTCAAGCTCCTAAACCTGTTGGGATATTGCAGCTCTGAGTTAATACCAAAGATATACAGTTTGTCACACAGATGACTTGGTTGTTCTACTCTCACCATTACTAGAGAATGCATCAGTGTGTGTCTTTGCTGAAAAAATCATGTTTTAAATGCAGATCAAACGCTGTAACGCTGACATTAAAGTGTTTGTCTTTGGCAGAACTACGAGCACCTTTTCAAAGTCAATGACAAGTCGGTGGGCGGTTCATTTTACCTGCAATCAAAAGTAAGTATTCAGTGTTTTTTACGGTAATTTTACTTTGTTGTTATTCAGCTACACTTTTTAAATGTGTTTTAATTTACCAGAATGTCACATCAGCTCAAGAGCATATGAAACAAATATGGTGTCCTTCAGACCAAATAATGAGAAAATACAGCAGAAGACATGAATACATAAATCTGTTTCTGAGTTTAAAACGCTGACTGCACCCTGCATTATCTGATGTGCTATACACCCAAAGTTCTGAGTCTGAAAGTGAGGAAAATGATGGTATTTACTTTCCCAGGTATTGTGCTGCCAGCTGTTTGAACAAGTTTAGTTGAATTTCCAAACACTCACCGTTTTGTAAACTGTCTCTAAGACTGACTGACATTGTTTTTGTATTGTCAAGTAAGTGTTGTATAGAGCCCGCATTGTGCACATTCACAGGTTTATCGTTTTGTTTTTTGGTCTGCTTGAATGCATTGATGTTTAAAAACAGAATGTAGGGATGTGAACCTCGCAGAAACGGCTCTAGTGAGGAAATGAGCCAAACTAGGCAGGTGTCGTGCAAACATACAGTCGTCCTCAGATGTCTTCATAGCCTCCCATTAAAGACGGAAAAACAGCTTCAGTCACTGAAATCAGTTGAAATCGAAAAAAGTAATAATAAATAAAAATGTAAAGAACATCATGACGTTACTTTTGAATCGTGGTTCAGCAGAAATATTTTTTTTTAAAAACAAACAAAAAGAAAACAAGCATGAATGGACCCCTAAACTAATATGTAGCTGATCAACCCTCTGAGCCAATCACTGCCATCAGGTGTTTCCTGTAACTCTCAGTCAGACTTCTGCACCTGTTGACAGGTGTTCTGGACCACTGCTCATCAGCAAAGGCCTCTCATTGGTCCAGGACAGTTTTGTTTTTTTTTAATGATTCAAAAGCAACGTCTTACTTCACTCAATTACAATTTTGCCTTTTCTTTAGTGGAAGGATGTGAATACATTTGAGGACAACTTTAAATAAGTAATGAAAGAACGTGACTTTAAACAAGTCAGGGAGACACTTCCTTTGTGGACTCCTTAAACTTGCTTGGAAATAAACAACATGAGGAATGTACGTCCACTGTTTGCTGCATTGATCCATCGCGTGCAGTGTGACATCTGACTTCAGAAATATTCAGCTCACATTCTCTCGTTTGAACGCTGTTTTTACTCTCAGGACAAACCCACTGATGTAGCGTTTCTGTAGCGTCAGTATGTTCAAATGTGCTCAGCTGTGAACGGTTATTCTAAGAGCGCTCTTAGTGTGTTTGCTGATGACATCTAGACAATGACTAGTTCTCATTTAATACCAGAGTCTGGCTTGTGACTCTCACTGTGTTGCAGGAATCCAATTTGAAATGATTCTCTTACTTTCACTGCTTCCTTTTTGCTGAGTTTTTTTTTATTTTTATTTTTAGAAGCATCTTCCTCTTTTCTCAGTCGCTGCTATTCTCATTTGTGTCCAGGTGGTTCGGGCTAAAGAGCGTCTGGACGAGGAGCTGAGCATTCAGACGCCACAAGAAAAGCAGCAGAGCACAGAAACATGAAGGATCAAATCTGTCCTCTCCCCTTCCTCTGTAAATTATAGCCCCATTAAAAGCCTTTTCTTTAGTCTTGACTTTGGGGCATTTTTTTTGCCAATGAATGCAAGACAAGAAACAACAGCAACACACACAAATACCTATCGTTGTTTCTCTGTATGTACATATTGACATGCCATGTTGTGTGTGGTCTGCAATAATCCATGTCCACACAGAAATGCTTATATTTATGTCCCAGCTTTCAGGAGCTCAAAGTATTGAGTGTAACTGCATTCTGTTGCATGTTAATTAGGTTAATATGATCGTTTGTATGACGTCAGGTGGAATCAGATTCTGCTGTTTTGACTTCATGTGTACTGTACAGAAATGAAAACACACGTATCAAATGCAACTTTATTAAACATTTTTGTTTCATTGACATTATTATCAATATCGTAATAAAATTCCTCTAAAACAGGAGAACACCGCTATGTTGTACCAATTGGAGACTTTGACAACTCTAAAATTCTGCATGTTCAACCACAGAACATGATGCCAGGAAAAATATATTTTCATATAATCATTATTTTTTTCATATAGTGTATAACTTCTATATTTACCTATAATAAAAAGGCACTTGGAAAAATTAAAATACTGACATAATATCTCACAAATGTGCAAAAACGTAACTTGGAACTGGCCTTGCATGGCCTTAGTCTTATCATTAACCCTTTGTGCAACACTGCGGCACTTCAGTCAATGGCACCCCTTTACAATGACACCGACCTCGCGAGCTAAGCTTTTTTTTTTTTCTTTTTGCCCTGGATTTCAGTTCCACTTTTGTTAACATTAAGTGAGGGTTACTTTAAAATCTCCAGGAGTCCGTACCACTTTTCGAATGTTATATGAAAAAATAAGACTTTAAAATCAGACATTTTAGCGACTGAGGATGATTATTTTTCTTTCTTTCTTTTTTTTTTTTAACAATTATTCCTGGTTCCCAAAACAACTGAAGAATAACCTTCTACACTGAGAAAAAGATGTGACATTATCCCCGTATCTACACACGCTATGAGGGGAACAAAAGTGCAGTTTATTACAGGCGGAGCTCAAAGGGTTAATGGATCATACAGCTTATTTAATATTGAAATATGTGGACCCTGCAGGATCCGTGTCATGTTGCTCAGATTTCTGCCGCCATGCTGAGTCTCTGTCCCTGGCTTCGACCAGCAGAGGAGAGACAGACAGGGAGGAGGAAGAGGAGAGCCGCCGCATCTGTGGGTTTCACTGTTGCCATGGAAACCGTGTCTAGCCTACTTAACACCTGTTTCTGATGACATCACACGCCAGGATTGTCCACTCAGAGCGAGAGATTCTTTTCAATACTCAAACTGAACCCAGAGACAGGCCACTGAGATAATAATGGCTGAATTAGCGAGGCACAAACGCAGGTACTCTGATCATCAGCTCGACCTCAAACAGGGAGCTGCGGTTGTTTTTGTTTACTGTGGCCTGTTGGTTTGCCTGTTTTTCCCATCTCTGGTAAAAAGCTTTGTGGCCGGGAGGTGGGGGAGTTGAGCCTTTTGGGTTTAATCTACAAAAAAAAAAAGCAGAAGAAGAAAAAAAAAGACCCAGAGGGCAGACAGAGTTCAGTGGCCTAGTTTTCCGCAGGCTGGTATGCCTGTGAGTGGCTGCCACACTGGGCACAGCACAGCGCTGACTTCAGAGCTGAGAGGCTGTTTGCTGGGTAGGTGGCCAGATGGAGAGCGGCTGCACAGCACAGCTATCCTCTGCTTCTTTTCCTCTGCTGGCATCCGTCCTCTGCCCTCATCTCTCCCTGTCCCCTGTCCATTCATTTATTCATTCAGCCAAGCCCTTCCCTTTGCTCTCACGCTCTCCCAGTGCTGCCCGCCATTTCACAGTTGGAAGTTACTTCTCTATGCATGCCCTCTTCTTGACTGAGTTTGCAAATCCAAACTAGCCTCCAGATAATTTGGTGTTAGAGTACTTGATAAAGAAATATTTTTACACCTTCTCTAAATTACACTTGCCTCTGTGATTGTCTGGTAGGAATGTGATGTCTTTTGGTCCACTGGATGTGCACGTAAGCCACGTTCTCCCTCCAAGAGCAGTGGTTCCAACCATCCATGAAAACAATATCTTCTGCTCTTATAACCTGTAATCAGTGAATAGACTCGGTTTGGACGTATTATTGTCGGCAGATCAGCCAAACTGTAATTTCTACTTTACGTATTGTTTAATTTCGAGGGTGTTGCAGCCCTAAACTTTACTCAGACTTGAAGGGCACAATTCATCTTGTTGTTGAGATATTTCCACTTGAACTGGACTGATGTGTCCATACAGTGAGCCACACATAACCTAACTGCCCCTTCAGACTTATCTTAGGCCCCCTTTTGGTGTCCCGAACCCCAGATTGAGAACCACTGCCCCTGGATGTCCCTCCCTCTCTTCTTCTCTTCGACCCCTTTGAAAGACTCATCCTCGACAGCAGAAAGCTGAATGCAGAGCAGCCACACAAGAAGCAACTTCAACATCGGAAAGAAATGTCTCGTCTGAACAACAGCAAAAAACAAAACAAAACGACGACAGAAATACAAAACAGCAATAAGTGAAGGTATCGCGCCTGAGACGGGGCGACGGAGAAACAAGACGGCCAACGAAAGCAGATGGGGGGAGAGGAGAGACGGGGGAGTGGAAGGAGAGTTTGAGAGTCTCTTGAGGGAATGTTCCTTGTGTTGTGGCGATGCTCTCCTGCTCCCCCACCTCTCCTCCGACTGCAGTCAACATCACACATGCATGAGCACCGAGCAACACCAGCGACCCATCAGAACTACGAAGAACCATCATTCGGCAGCAACATCTCATAAAACATGTAACGAACGTAGCTTGTGGTAAGTGCATGTTGACTGCTTAATCGAACCATGAGAAGAAGTTTCCCAGAAGTCTTTTTTTTTTTTTTGTAGTTTTTTTCTCTTTTTTGCCCCTTTGGACAGAATAAGATGAGGCAGTTTGCAATAGTGTGGCTTCCCAGTCAGTCCAGCTGTATGTGGCACTGAGTGCGTCACACCCCCCTCTGTGGCACCATGTCAGCATCCCACCTGCCCTCTCCAGGTATTTTTGGCACAGCATGAGACTTGTTGAACTCGGGACAAAGCTGACGAGGCTAAGCTAGACTTCCACTATACAACCACCTGTTTTTCACAGCTGGTTTTGGGTCGGGTTACTTCTAAACGTACAACACAGTAGTGTTTGTCGCCACAGTGGCCCTTTCATACACAAACTGGCCCTGTTGATTCAATTACGGGAAAGCAGCTGGACAATCTCGAAGCAAAACAGTGCTAGTTCTGTAGACGGCAAGCAGGATGTTGTGTTCGGTGTCCGACCAGAGGGGGGAGTCAGACGCACCAGGGCCTGAAATTTTCACTTGTGAAAGAGGGGAAGTGATGATCGGTCATTGCCAGGTGATGTAACACCATTTGTCTGTGTTTAGTCCTTGGTTCGCTCTGTGCCCTAAAAAGCCCCTAGTCTGCACACCTGGCACACATTCTGGTGGACTAGGCTGGTCTGTGTCGGTCTCCTTCCCCAAACCGGGGACAGATTGTCAAAAGTGCTCTTTCCCAGTTTATGTTGTGCTGGAGGAGCAGAGAGGTTAGCAGCAGTTTTGAGGTTTCAGTACTATAACCAGTTGACACTATTAAGTGCTGTGTTTAATTGACCTGTCACGGAGCTGAAACAGCCTCCTGCACAAAAACAAGACAGTTTGAGTTCACTTGCTTTGGTTTGGCAAGCTTGTCTGAATCATATTAATCACAGCAGCCTGTGAAAAATAGGTCATAACTTCAAAATCATCTGAGAATCTTCCTATTACATGCTCATTTGCCTAAGTGTGAGTGCGTCATTCGTGTTGTATGTATCTCACTGCGAAGCTGGAGGCACACTGTCAAAGTACAGTCATATAAATACTAATCGATGAATCAGGACTTTTGTAAGAACACAGAGCACTAAGACTGTCACGTTCATGGTCCTTGTCCACAGAACCAGCAAACAGGAATGAGTGAAGTATAAAACAAGAGAGGAAAGAGGAGCCTGTTGTAAGGCCTTGTGATAGAAATACAGAGCCGTACATGTTCCTGAACAGAGTTCTTGGGCCCCAAGTTGAGTTTGCCAACAACACAAGAGGCTTGTGTTTGTGTACTTGATTCTTGTGAGGTGCAGAGTTTTCAGTTGTTTTGCAGATTGCAGGGTTTGATGAGTTTCTCTATTTTCTCTTTTTACAAGTCCTCTGCACAAAGCGTCGCCTGGATTTGATTGTGCAAGCCAATCCCTATCACCTTTGACCGCCCGTACCCCCCATACCCCCCCATACCGACCCCCTGAGCTCTTCTGGAATGTGTGTGTGAGTGTGTGTGTGTGTGTGTGTGTGTGTGTGTGTGTGTGTGTGTGTGTGTGTGTGTGTGTGTGTGTGTGTGTGTGTGTCTGTGTATCAGTTGACCACAGCTGGCTTGAGCACCACAGTGCCTGGGGGGATGACCACCCAGGACAGGGGATCATGAGACCCTCCTGTGGAGAGGTTCAAGACCCCCCCAGTCACCTCGTTCTCTGCTTCCTCTCCTCTGCCCTTCCTCACTGGGTGACTCTGGGCCCTGCGCTCCGACGCCGCCCCCAGCACCGGCACCATCGGCAGGCCCAGGGCTGAGGAGGGGAACGCTGGGGAGAGCAGAGGGGACTTGGCCAGGCCCAGCGGGGAGCCGCTGAAGGACAGGATGGACGTCCCACCGAGGCTGGCCGGAGGGGAGTTGGGGCAGCCCAGCGTGCTGAGGTCCAGGGGCCGAGGACTGAGGGGGGACAGGGGCAGACCACCACCCAGGCCCTGCAGAGTGTGGCCCCCCAGCAGAGCGGCCGCTGCCCCGGGGATGATAATGTGGGCTCCACTCACATAGGACAGCTCTGAATCCTTCCCTCCTCCACCGGCGAGCCCTGCGCTCTGACTTCCCTTCAGCAGCGAGCCCACCCCACCCGGGGAGCCCTGCTCCTGCGCCACGAAGTGGCCGTGGGCTTTGATGTGCTTGCGAAGAGAGCTGGGGTCTGTGTAGCGCTTCAAGCAGCCCACCATCTTGCAGTAGTAGGGCTTGTCCACATAGTGTGTGCGTGTGTGTTTGAAGCGGTCGCTGGAGTTGGAGTAGCGTTTGTTGCAGCCCTCGTAAGGACAGATGTAGGGCTTCTCACCTGCAGGGAGGAGGGATGGTCCACATGTCAAGACTTCATTCACAAAATCAGACAAACTTTCTTTACAAAAATGAAATCCTAGGACAAGAATGCCCTTGATATGAGGCTGTCCACCGACCTGTGTGTGAGCGGTTGTGTATCTTGAGGTTCTCCAGGCGTGAGAAGCTCTTGTTGCAGGTGGGACAGCGGTGGGGCTTCTCATTAGTGTGAGTGCGAATGTGGATGAGCATTTTGTACCTGCAGCCGCAAAAAAATAAAACAAAATTTAGCAGCCATCTCTTAAATGTTCTCCCCTTATACCTAAGAAGAATTTTCTCACCTGGCATTAAAGCCCCTCCCTTTGCGAGCACAGCCCTCCCAGTGGCAGCAGTACCCAGAATCCTTCTCAGGTTTGACATGGAAGTCATTAACGTGGTCCACCAGGTCTTGTAGGGAGTCAAAGAGCAGATGGCACTGAAGGAGGAAAGAGCATCTCAGATAAAGTTGTCTTGGCTGCAACAGGATCATAAGAAGTATTTCTTTTTTCTTTCTTTACCTTCTTCCAGCGGCAGGCCAGTTGTTCGTCTGCTGAAAGGTCAGGAGAGGATCTCTTGTCGCTAGTCTGGCCAATGAACATGGAGGAGGGCAGGTGAAGTCCTGTCCCAGCTCCAATTGGCACGAAAAACTGAAAGGCTTGTGAGATGTGAGAATTCTGATAAACAAAGAGGAAAAGGAGGAAAAGGAACGACGGGGTTATCGAGCTGCTGCAGACAAAAGTACTTTAATATTGCCTCGTGTGTCGTGTCATGTTCACCCAGTTTAATGTGATAAAAGTGCCTAACCCTGCAAAGTTAGCATAGAATTCACAAAAATTAGATAATGGGTGCTTTATAGGGTCTCAAAGGTACAATAAAGCCCCAGAACCACAGACTGTATTCATTCCTGTCTAAAGGTGACACTCTGTGTAGCAGCAGCTCTACAAGAAGCAGTCTTTCTTTGTATCATTAGAGAACAGAGCTGCTGATTCTCATCTTTTCCTTCAAAATCCACTCTATTTTCCTCTAGTAGTTACCCGCTGCGCGCTACAAAACCTCCCTACATCCCTGAGCTCAGCATGAGAGCTGTAACACTCACTGAACCTCAGCTGGGGCTCAAAGAGCTGATGCATCGGCTCACACACACACAAACACACACACAGTAACTGAACTCAAGCAGAAAGCACGCAGGAGCGCCGATGAAAAGTTGAGTTTAGAACAACGGACAATTAGCTACGAGCTCTCCGATAGGACGCGAGGATCACAGGCAGAGAAGGAAAAAGGCTGCAAATAGATCACAGTCCTGCATCATCGTCTTCAGCTATGTTTGAAATGTGTATGTGACAAATTTAATAAAATGAGACCAATTCCCTGCACTGAGCTCAACCTATGTGAGCTGCTTTGAGAGAGCATGTTTCGTGTGAGCGTGCACAGCTGCTCCTTTGAAGAACTACTTATTTTTATGTGTGACAGAGAGAGAGAGACAGAGATGCAGCGTCCTATCTACAGTACGTCCACAGGGGATAAGTAAAGTGTGTTTAGCGGTGGGCTCGGTGGGCTCGGGAGGCTCGGGGAGCTCGGGGGGCTCGCTGGGACCCGGAGGGACGCAGGGCGGCTGAATGGCCCCAGCCAGCATGTCTCAATTCAATTGCATGGGAATTGAATTAGGCGGCGTGAGGTCTGCATGGCTGTAGTTTGTCTTAAATCCGATTATAAATGTACACACATACACACACACACACACACACAGACACACACACACTTCATGCCAGAAGGGGCACTGAGTGCAAGTTGCACAGAGGTATTTGTTGGGGACACAAGAGGTGTTTGATAAGAGCTACCCCCCTCCCTCCCTCACAGAGGCCTCTCACCCCTCACAGAGCCTGACTCCCTTCTGTGAGTGTGACACAACCCATGCTGTTCCTGATCTGCTGACCCCAGCAGGCTGACTCACTTTCAGCCGAAGACAGGAGAGCGTGGCCACAGTGTTTACTCCCTCAAAAACTCTGAGATGAACTGAGGAAGGGTGTATGAAAATGGAAATAACAGAGCTAGTTGTGTGCAAACGGAAGCTGTTGGAAGCCGAGGTGGAACACACACCTGCTCTCTAAGTGTATGTGTTCGAGTCGTACTCACCCCTGAGGGGACGTAGTTGCCGTTGGTCATTTCTGGAGAGCTGGGGGTGTGGCGTGAGGAGGGGGACAAGCTCAGGTCGACCGCAGGGGGGGTGGGGGTCTCCGTTCGGTCATGAGGAACCACCTGCACACCTGAGAAAACACACACCTGTTGCAGTGATCTCTCACCTGGGGACAACTCTGATTTTTAACTCTAGCGCCACTACAATGTTTGCATTTGGGGTATTTAATGTAATATCTTAACAGAAAGTAGATTCATTGCCATAAAAATAACACATTTGGTCCCCTTTCAGTCATCGCTTCACTTTTCATGGAGCGTCACCTTGAGGCTATATTTCAAAACTGGCCAGTGCTTTAAATGAACATCATCCTCACCAGTACTTTGTGTTAAGTGCTGCTTTGCAAATGTTGACAAGCATTATACCTGCTAAATATTAGCATGCTAGCATTGCTACTGAACACATTAGCATTCTGAGGTTCGCACTGAAGATCAAGAGACCACAGCCTGCTGCAGCTGGGGTTTTGTCGTGTAACTCGTCTGTGTTCTTCCCAGCTTGGAACATGTGAAAGCTGTGCACCAGGTGTGAATGCATGTGTTTGTGTCGAAGTGTGCAGGGATGAGGCGGTAAGTGAATCTGATTGGCTCCTGGCTCATCCTTCTCTTCTCCCAACCAGCCACATGAATCTGCCCATTTGTAGCTTTTGCCATATGGATGGATTTGTTATTTTGGTTTGGCTAAAGCTAACTTAAACTCATTAGGCCTGTAGATATGTAGTATATATATATAGATATACATATTGGGATCTGGCACAGATGGGTCACGTCCATGTTTTGCCACTAAGAGGCACAGCATGGAAGTGTCTAGTGTTAGATAGTTGTCTAACCCTAACACCGCCGGCAGAGCCATTTAAAGGTGCTTGTCCTAGGCTCTTCTTGTTGATACCGACCTGTGTGCGGCGATGCTGGTGATGCAGGCTCTATGACCGCTGTCCCATCATCTGCCATGTGGAGCTGGCGAGCACGTTTGGGGTGCAGCGGGGAGAGGGGAGGAGAGCGCCCCCCTCTGTCCCTCCCGTTGGCCCGCCGAGGGAGCTTCAGGTCCAGGGGCTCGTCCAGGGACAGCATGGCCGCAACCCGCTGACCTCCCAACTGCACAAACAGCCAAAGAGCAGCAGAGTTAGTCCCGATCTGCTCCGACGCCGTTCACATAACCGCAAAGAAAAGCTGCATTCCGATGAGAAACCGGGACAGGACACAGAGGACACCTGCAATATTTCCCACATGGATTTTGATGACAGTGTCTCACATTCCACAGTCCCACAGGGTAGGAAACACTCCCCAACAATGGCAAACGATAGTAAACTGAAGCACTGAGTAAGCCCAAGAAAAATAAACACACGCACACGTTGAGAGCTCAGTGACCCTCTCCTCTTTTTCCATCCTGACCTTTACTCACACTCTTCCTGAGGAATGTCTACAATCCAGTCCAGATGGCCACCCCCACCCCTCGGCCAGCCACTGGCCCTTGCACCCTGTCACATCACCCCCCAGCCCCCACAGTGTGCACCTTCAGACACCGTGGACCTTTGAGCCCCGCAGGCCTTCCAGTCCAGCTGTAGCCTCTCATCCACCCCCTCCCTGCTCTAGCACACTGACCTGTGGACCCAGCCGGAGGCCTGTGGCAGGACGCTTCATCTAGCTGTCATGTTGAGTTCCAGTTGTAGTCTTCCTCAGCAACCGGACACTTAGACGAGCCCCATTAGTCAAAAGAACGGTTACTTTATGAGTTTAAATCCTAATTACAATCCAAAGTCCTTCTTTGGTCATTGATTTACCCCGAAACACTCATGTCTGTGTACCAAATTATATAGTTTTATTCAATTAAATGATCCCTTCCTACCTTAGCTGTAACTCTACCCTGCCGGTTCCCTCTTTGGTGCGTGGACCTATGAAGTCCTGTATCTCCAGTCGGCCATTCCCCCTGGCTGCAGCTGGAGCACACCAGCTCTACAGCGCAAGTTGCAATACTGTAGTCGTATATAAGAATAGTGATATAGAAGGAGTCACTCTGCAGACTGACAGCTTCCTGAGGTTTGTTACGTCTGAACTAATCCCACATAGCAGCTTCCAGGAGGAAACGCTCCACTTGTTTCATGCATGATGTGTCCTCCAGCATATAAAACACCATATGCTGATGTTAACAAGGTAAAAAAAACTCAATCTTCACCACAAGGGCACTTTAAGGTTCATAACATCCTAAAGAAAAGAAAAAAACTATCTTTGAAGTAAAGACTGATTCTGTTCTTCACTTTCTCGCGGTTTCGGCTTCACACATCCAGGCGGTGCTGGTTCTGTCCTGCAGAATTAAAGCCGAGCTCTTCATTGGAGATAATGTGTTCAGGTTCACTGCTCCTCTCACCAGGCACACATCTCCTCAAAGCATTTTCCATCCACACAACACAGTGTCCTATATTCCAAGTGTTCCAGTGTCACATACAATATACACACACACACACACAGAGCCATGCACACGCACACATTCACCCACACAAGTAATTAATCAAACAGTAATTTCAACAAATTCATCTCTCCTCCCTCTCGTTCGCTCACACACACACACTCATGGAAGTGGTGGTTGGTGGTGAATGGTGGGCTTTGAGAGCGACTGGCCAGGGGCCACATGAGAAGCTCTTGTGTCTGGGAGGCGTGGAGCAGAAAGGTCACCAGGTTCACCATCCCAACCAGGGATGGCCACCAGCTCACACACAGCCATGAGGGTGGGGGGGTGCAGAGACTCAATCAGCCATAGATAAGAGGACGATAATGCACACACGTACTGACACAAACAGAGGAGCACACTGTATGAACATGCACACAGAGCGGCATTATGGCGTTATCAGCAAGATCTCGATGTCATGCATTTACAGACGCTCATGTTCCACACACGCACATAAAGACGTATCTTATGACAAATCTTTGGTTTTTATCTGATTATAGACCACTGACAAGCACATGACCCACAGTTCCCCCTTGATGGGCAGTTTAGAAGGACTTTACATCAAAATGTGAAAACCTCAAGCATAGCAGGCAGAAAAAAAGCAAACAAATACTTATTTATTGCATTCTGCAGACTTCAAAGACAGAGTTAGTCAATCACAAACAAAACTCAAACATATCTTCATGTTAGGTTTCAAAAGTTCTGCTGATTTGTTCGTGTCCAGTACAGAGAAGAAGGACAAGTACAGTGACCGATAACTGTTTCCATAAATACACATGAACACTGCAAAGATATCTTTTCAATGATTTTGACGTGTAACGCTGATCCCAGGCGCTCTTACGGGTTCTAGGATAAAATCTGCACACTATTTGTGGTGCTGTAGTACAAGACAGGCACAAGTGGGCTTTTCGTATTTAGGTCAAACGGGGTTCGGCATCATCTCAGATCTGCACCACACATCCAGTGTCACCGAACTTCCAAACAAAGGAGTTCAGCTCTTGGAGCATCTCCATCACTAAAAGGCAGGTTAGCTGTGTGATGATAAAAGAGGGATTTTACTGGCAATCGCCGATCGATGGGGTTTGTAATGTGGGCAGAGCTGCCATTAGCTGTGAAAACAAACATGCTTAGATCTGTCAGAGTGGAGCTGCAGTTAACACCACATCTCAGTTCCTCTCTCTCCTCTGTACGGGTGGGAGTGACTAACTTACTGTAACTCCAACCACACAGGCTGCCAAGAATTTTGGCTTTATTGTTTGGCCAAAGTAGCAGAAAATCGCCTGTCATCCACTTTAAACGAGTAAAAGCCCTCGCCCTGAGGCGCAGACCAGGAATCAGCTTAACCTTTCTACAAATCCTGCTCTCATCCACTGCGGGAACAAACACAAACTTGGCCTCCCATCAGCAATATAATCCACACTATAAAACACAGTGAGAAACAGATATGGAACTTCTGGACCCATGTAGCTCTGGAATATGAATCAGTTCGCCACCTTCTATCATGGGATTCACTGTGAAACAGGCAGAGAGGCACTACAGGAGCCTCCACACACAAAAGCTCTTCTCAGGCGGCTGCTCCTCGTGCAAACCATTATGTATACCTCCATAATAGACTGTGCAGCTCATCCTTTCCAATTTATGAAGTATGTCTCCATGGCTATTCCCCTCCTGCTCCAACAGCAGCCAGCCAGGGAAACGTCTTTTCTCTCTATAATAAAGAGCCTTGTTGAAATCATTCAGCTGGCTGTGTGCTTTATATTGGAGCTATTTTTTTTTTCCTTTTAATTCCAAGTAAATAAGAATATGCTATTTTCTGAGATTCAATGTTTCTACTGGCCTGTTTGATTTTTATTACACATATTATATATTATTAGGTATATCAGAACTGAACAAGTTAAGTATTCAATTATTTGATCAGCAGAAAGTTAATCAGAAAAAAGTTTGATTAGCGATTGAAGCTGATTGATTGATGTTCAGCTCTGGTGGGAGAATATTCATTGACATTAAAATATTTCGGGCTGCAGGGTGGCGCAGTTGGTAGCACTGCTGCCTCGCAGCAAGAAGGTTGCCGGTTCGCGTCCCGGTGGGGGCACCAGAATCTTTCTGCGTGGAGTCTCCATGTTCTCCCCGTGCAGCGTGGGTTCTCTCTGGGTTCTCCGGCTTCCTCCCACACAGTCCAAAAACATGCTGAGGTTAATTGGTGATTCTAAATTGTCCGTAGAATGTGAATGTGAGTGTGCTTGGTTGTCTGTCTCTAAGTGTAGCCCTGCAATAGACTGGTGACCTGTCCAGGGTGTCCCCTGCCTTCGCCCTGAGTCAGCTGGGATAGACTCCAGCCCCCCCGCGACCCTAGTGAGGAGTAAGCGGTGTATAGATAATGGATGGATTAAAATATTTCATTTTCCAGCTTTCCAATCTTTATAAGTTAGGGTGAGATGTATGAAGCCTGGGAGGAGAATAAAGTCTGGAAGTCACTTATTGCAATTAAAGGCTGCACAAATGAGCATATAAACATTTTTAGTCTCTCTCATCTACAGAGGCTGGACAGTGAGAGAGAACAGTTCAGACTTTGGTAAGAAAATCAATGTGCAGGGGACAAAAATAGCATTTATAAAGTTGTGCATTTGTAAAGTTGTGCATTTATAGCAGCCATGAAATTTTCTTTCCAAATATTGAGCAGGTCGTAAAATATCTACAATACCTACGGCAGTCCACTCATGTGATCCCAGTGGACTCAAAGTTATTCTCATTCGGGCATTTTGCCTTTATTTGACAGCGTAGTGGAGATAGAAAGGAAATGTGGGGAAGGAGCAAAGGCACGACTGGCTGGAGCTCAAATCAGTGAATCAGGCTTCTGAGTCGCTGTTTAGCTCGAACCACTTAAAATAAAATGAACTTTATTGATCCGTCACCAGGAAATGTACATGTTACAGCCGCTGGTGATAGATGAGGCATGAAAGAAGCTGGACAAGAACTAGAAAAGTACAATAAGTTCAGAACTAATAAAGAAAATACACACGCCATGATGAAATATTCTTATGGATATGCACCCCAGTCCTAGCACAGCTGACCAGTCACCACTGATGGACTACTTCTTAGTGTACAAACAGTACAGACCGGTCGGGAAGCGGGTCAGTGTGTGGATGCTGGACTGACTACGTTCTCCAACCAGCCACAGTCACTGAGAGGGGGCTTGTGGGAAATATGAGACAAAGAGAGGGAGTGAAAGAGCGATCCAGAGCAGGACGGGAGGAATGGTGTTCTGTGTGTTCAGGCCTGTGCGATATGCGAGTGTGTGTATAAAGCTTAGTGGCAAGCGACTGTGAAGTTTGGGGAAGGGGTGTTGGCTGCCCCCATGCAGACTTCCTCGCTCGGCCGTGGGGTCGACAGTGTCTCTGAAAGGGAGCATTGTCCCCTCTCCGGCCCTCTCCTCTCTCTGCAGCAGAGTAAACACCGACTCCGGCAGCAGGGAGGGGAGAGGAGGGATGAGCGAGGGGGCCACGGTGAGGATGCACCAGGGTGAGGATGACGGGAGGAGGAAGAGCTCTTCAGCAACCCTTTCCCACCTGACTCCTATACTGCCGACCCCGGCCCCTTTGATGAAGGACGGGTGTGTTCGGGGTGAAGCTGGGTCGAGGTTGGAGGGTGTGAG